CAATAATTAAACAACTGTTCAGTAGCTGGTACCAATAATTAAACAACTGTTCAGTAGCTGGTACCAATAATTAAACAACTGTTCAGTAGCTGGTACCAATAATTAAACAACTGTTCAGTAGCTGGTATCAATAATTAAACAACTGTTCAGTAGCTGGTACCAATAATTAAACAACTGTTCAGTAGCTGGTATCAATAATTAAACAACTGTTCAGTAGCTGGTACCAATAATTAAACAACTGTTCAGTAGCTGGTACCAATAATTAAACAACTGTTCAGTAGCTGGTACCAATAATTAAAAAAATGTTCAGTAGCTGGTACCAATAATTAAACAACTGTTCAGTAGCTGGTACCAATAATTAAACAACTGTTCAGTAGCTGGTACCAATAATTGAACAATTGAAAATGTTCATCAGACAAGAAAATTTTTTTTTATAACAACAAATAATTTTTACAAACTAGAATTTTACAACAAAACATTTTACAAGCTACAATACAAACTTTACGTGGCTGGTTAAAATACTGTAGTCAGAAGAAATATTCGCCTTTTTAATTTTCTAATTAATTTCTTAGTGATCACCTTATTGGTATATACGGTATATGCATTGAAACGGGTAAGAATTATAGGGGAAAAAATGTTTTCATAATGAAATAAGGATATCTTGAAGTTTGTCGGCAGTGAAGTCTTCCTTTTATTCCATACTTTTCAAGTTCATGTCCACATATGTTTCAAAAGACTTGGACTTACTTGTTCTCCTTCTAAGACAAAATAAATATGTAAATAAATGTCTTTTTGGTAGCGAATGAATTTTGTTTCTGATTCTCCTTTTTATTTTAAAATGTTATAAAGATCTGTTTATTTAAGCATTGCACTTAAACAAACAAAAATATCTTCAATGCACACTGTGCGCATGGCGGGTATCGAACCTTAATTGTAGCGTTATGAACCCTCAAGCTGGGCCACCTAGAGAGGTAGGGGGTCGTAATGATGAGCTTTAATCATTTTCAGAAAATTCAAGATTTTCTGATTGTGTCGTTAACGAAAATCTTTATTCGTACTAAATGTAAACACTAATTAATGTAAAAGTCTGCCAGAAGAACAAAAACATATTTGCTTCCCGTATTGCCATTATTATCAGATACAGTTCATGTATTATGTCAGATAATTCTGATTCTTAAGGGGGCGTACATAATCACTCAAATTTTCAGAAATAACATTAAACGTCAATTCTTGTCCACAGTAACGATAAACAAACTAATCTCAACCAATTTTGAAATCTTTCTTGACTTTAGAATAAATTGACTAATGTATATATATTTTCTTAATTGAAGATTTGTTTGTTATTAAGCGAAACGCGAAAGACTGGGAAGACGATTAATAGAGGTATGATATGAGAAAGATTTAAATTAAGGAAAGATAAAATTTTATAAGAACATGTTAAGAGCTGATTATTGGTAAAACAAGCGATTAAGATAGTAGAACTTATACACGTACAGTTTTAAATTTTAAGTAAAGTATTATCATCACTACTCTAAAACAAAACCTTCTTAAACCTTATTCTGAAACTCAGGTACATTTTTGATCTCTTAATTTCAAGAAAGATTGGTTTTGCTGGAACTTTGAAGGGTAATGATTTCGGGAAAATATTTAAAGATACCACATTTTGAAATGAAAAAGAAAGGGGCTTTCGAAATGAAATATTTTTGTTTTCTCTAATAAAAGCATGTATATTAATTGTTTAATCGTTTAGACTTAATAAATGTATTTACAAACAGTAAAAAGTTTTCACTCCGTATATTTTCTAGATGATGGATGAAGCTGTTTTCAGTGTGCTCAGAAAAACACGTTTATGTATTTTTTGTAATATTAACAAGTTCTATGATAAACAGAAGTATATGTACAAGAAATGTTATAAGAATAATTAAAAATTACTTTTGTATTACTTCACCGCCCCTTCCCAGTGGCACAGCGGTATGTCTGCGGACTTACAATGCTAGAATCCGGGTTTCGATACCCGTGGTGGGCAGAGCACAGATAGCCTGTTGTGTAGCTTTGTGCTTGATTAAAACAAACAAACAAACAATTACTTCACCACTGGTGGTACCTTTCACAAAACATTAATTTCGTGATGTCATAATATTGACTGTAAATGTAATCGTACTTTAAACAAATACTGCGATTAAAAATATATATATATATAAATTGGTACTTAAAAGATTATTTCAGCACACTAATTCGAATTAATTTTAATTAATTTTGAATAAAAATTAATTCTTTAGGTTGGAATATAAAATGTTCCTACTCAAAATTAATGCTACAGCATATATATTTGTATGTTCATTGTCTTGTTGTTTACAAGGCAACAGTGGGTCGCCTTGAGGCTTAATTCATTGGCTTCAATCTCAAGTGTCAGAGTGAAGCTGTAAAATAATCCAGACGCTCGAATGGTTAGTTACAGGACTTAAAACAACGAGAAGTGGCCAAATATAAAAAAAACTAAGATATTTTAATTTTAAAAGAACGAACAATTTATTTGTTTGTTTCAAACTGTATTTATATTTTGTATTTATTACAAAGTTACAAAGGCTTTCAGTCACTGGTCCTAATTTTGAACAATTGACAAGAGGGAAGACAACCGATCAGCAACACTCTAACACTCACCATCCACACTAATGATTTAACTGTCACTTTTATAACGCGCCAACAGCTTAGAGCGCGGAGAACATTTTGGGACATCGCACAGATTCAAACCCGGATCATCAGCATTAAAAGTTCAGAGCTCTACTAGAGGGTCAACTCAAACCTTACAATTGTTTCAAATATTCACGCAAAGCTACATGAAAGGTATCTGCGTTAGCCGTCCATAATTTTGAATTGACTGATAATCGGAAAGATATATTATGAACATCACTCACCGCCAACTCTTGGTCTACTTTCATGGAATAGTGGAATTTGACCATTATTTTTATATTCCATTTTATATAAAAAAAAAGCTTTATGATTATTGTTGTTTTCTTCGTG